CCGGAAAGGGNGGGGAAGGGGGAAGGGGAAGGGGGGGGAGGGCACGGGGGCGGTCCGCATCACTTACGCGCAGGGCTTTCAAGAACTCGTCAAAAGACAGAGATCCATCCTTGTTGGCATCAAAACGGTCAAAAACCTCTTGGTATTCCTGCAGCCCTTGCCGGTACCACGTGAGCAAGACGCACAGGTGCAAGAAGCGAGAGGTGGAAGCCAGCACAGGAGGCTGCGGGCACTCGACGAACCACGTCCGAGTCGAGGTACACGCCATAATCATGCAGACCCTTGGAAAACTCCTCAAAGCTCAGTTGGTTGTTACCCTGATTTGGGAAGAGTAAGTACGATATTCAGTGGCGATTTGGCCCAACAACGATGCCCATCGGCAAGGGGGAAGCGACGCACATCATCATCAAAGATCTTAAAGGTGCGGCCAAGGCCCTTGATACCGGCGGCGCCTCGAGCCAGACATTGCAAGCGCAGCTTCTCCAACGGATCCTATTGATATGGGGTTGATTCGGGCATGCATGAGAGCATGGCACGCGTACGCATGTATGGTGCATGTGACAATTGGTGAAGATCATACGGTGGCCTGACGCAGCTTGGTCTGCATGTCGCGCTTCATAGCGGCTTCGTGCCGAGCTGTGGCTGACATCTTGGCGAGGAAATAGGCGAGAAAGGATTCGCGTCTAGAATGCGACCAAGAATTTGTCAAAGTCAAGCACACAACAAGATGTGCGCTTGCAAAACCAAACGCGAGAATGCTTTGAACAATGCGCAAGACCACCCTAGTCTTGGACACGCGCCTGGTCCCCAGACACTGCCACATCCGCGACAGGCAGTCGTACCTCGAAGAAGAAGAAGAAGGAAATCTTTCCGATCAAAAATTTCCCAAAAATGAAAATTTGGTGTTGTGCTTTGACAACAAGCATCAGCGTAAGAACAGCTGGTAACGGGTTTGTCAGACAATCGGAGGTTCTCGTTCACTTTCTTGATGGCCAGTATCATGACGGGCTCAGGCACAGCCAAGGCACTGCCGTTTAAGAACTCTGCCTTTCAGGTGTGTGTGTGTGTGCGCGAGCGGGGAGAGGGGTGTTGTGCGGGAAAAGGCTCAGCTGCGTGAGTGGGATGTGGCTTGCACTTGTTTGTTGTATTTGCCACGGTCAACAATCGTGTGACTCAGACCCTAAAAAACATGCAAAAATGCAAACAGAGCAAGCTGTCGACGGGGGCTCTGAAGAAGGTGCGCACACTCAAGTCTGTATTGCAGCACGACCGAGGCCTCAACTATCCGACAGGCGCACCCACCTGTAAGTCCACGCTGACACATTTTTGATTACACGGACACATGCACAGTTGCGGACCCAGGCGCACACACTCACGGTCCCTGTGCTCAGACGAAAACGTGCGAGTCCCAATCAACCTCAAGCCCTTGGTCAAGTACTGTGATCTCACTGGTCTCTTGGTACGTTGAGTATCCTGCTCATGCGGTACTCGCGCCCTTGGCGTGAAAGTGTGTGAACCAACCTGCTCGGCCACCTCTACTTGCTTTGGCGGGGTGGGGGGTTGGCTTGTCGAGATGGGAAGCATGCTAATGATGCTGAATGCTCTCGGATGCCTTGAACCACTTCTACATTTGTGATGGGGATGCAGGCCAAGTATACCGATCCACGAACTCGGTTACATTTCTATTCAAAGGAGGAGTACCACATTATTACCCAGCTGTCGCGCGCAGCCGTACACGAGCTCTTGGAGCTACGCGGCGCCTCCACGCAACATGTTCAGACTCTCTAAGCCCGTGCTGGCCATCGGGCGTTTTTGTGTGGGAGTGGAGCGACCGGAACTGCATGGTCAGCTGGCCGGTGGTACGGGGGCAGTACCGCTTCTTCGCGCAATTTGCGCAAATAGAAGACAGCCGTGGTCCATGCAACCACATCGTCATCGATCGCCCCCTGCCACGCGCCGGTTCACGTAGTGAGGGACCCGGGCCTGCATTTGTATAATCAGGCCAAGTGTGATGGAACGTGTGTCTGTGTTCAGTGTCAGGCTCGTACCTGTGCAGAGGCCCTTTTCGCGATGGCTGAGCCATGGAAATTGAATTCCCTTGAGCTACAGTCATTTTTGCTACGGTGCGAGTACACGCTTGCCGGAGCCCTTGGAGCTTGACTGTGTGTCGCTTGTGGCTGCAGCTGTCCTAGAATGGCACTGCGGCGTCCTTGCGGTTGGACTAGCGGCTGCCCCGCTGAGAAACGCCGCAAGGGCTCTGGACAAGGCACGTTGTTGTTGCTTGCCTCAACACTGCTCGTTTGGGCCTCAACTCCATCATCAACCTCATCAGCCACCCCCTGGCAAAAACGCCACACCGCCAAAGCCTATGGAGTTTTTGATGGTCCAGGGCGATTGCCGCAGCAGTGAGCCATGCGGCGAATCAGGACGCGCTTGTACTCTTATGTACCTCACGCCTCGGCATCATCTCATGGGGGGAGAGGAGCAAGGAGCTCACGCGATGTATGCGATGTGCTGCTCCTTCACGCAGACCCAGACGCTGTTGCATCTCTGACACTGTCAAGCGTTGAAAAGCCTGGACCGAGTAGTGTTGGAGTAATATCGTGTACTTGCTGAGGCGCAGAGTCTGCAGAAAGTCCCTATCCGGTGGACATGCGAATGCGTGGTAGTTGCGACACAAGAATTGGGTTGTGATAAGGAGGAGCGCTTACGCAGCAGGGCGGCCAGCGAAGGGTTCATTCCAATACTCTACCTGATGTCACTCGAGTGCTCGAGGCGCACCTGGCGCCACTCGATAAATCTAACTCACGAGGAGGGCAGATGTTAGGCAGAAGGTAGCAGCCAAGTTCTGCGACTTTGCGGTCTTCCCATCCATCCAAAAAAAAAAAAAAAAGAGAGAAAGAAAAGGTCTTTCTTAGAGGCAGAGTAGCTCGCACCGGAGAGATCGACCCTGATCGCGTTTGAGCACTTCGTGTTGTTGCCGCTGCCGCCTTGCCATGATGGTCAGCCGTTCAAAAGCTTCTGCAGTCAGTTGATGTTTGGACCGGTGCTTGGGGTGTGCGGCATCGTGAGCTTTGACCGGTGAATGTGCGAGCGAGCATCCAGCCAAAGTTGGCGCGTTAAGCAAGCGCGTGCAGGGCAGCTGTGCCAGTTGTGGGGCACTAGGCATGTGCCTGCGCCGAGCGCTGTCAGAATCTCTTGGCTCGCTTGCGGCTGGTCGCTGCTGCCGACGATGGGGGGGTTTGTAGATGGCCTATACATGAAGAACTCGTGCATGGGTGCATCTACATTTGACAGTCCAAACCGGCCCAGCGCTCAAAGCAAGCCATCCATTCCTACCAATCGCTGTGCCATCCTGCCACCGTCCTGCCACCACTGCCGCCTTCAAATTGTTGATGTCCCACAGCTGAATCTGTCGACAAATCCTTCGCGCCAAAAAATAATCTGACATGTACGGAGAGAGTGAAGAGCAAGAACACGTTGATACACGTTTTCAAGTTCCTCACACACACACCCACACAGAGCTCCATCACAAGCAGCCGTTTTTTTTTTTTTTTTTTCCTGGATCAGGATGGCAGAGACCTTTGGGCGCTGATGATCTACGATCTGGGCGACGGGGTGAGTGTAAGCATGCGAATGATAACATAGCTGTGCTTGCCTGACCGCCTGTAAGCGTTCAACATGATCAAACAGACCAGCCTCAGGTGCCGCCTCCACGTCCCAGAGGACGTGGTTGCTGATACGGGTCTGTGCCAGCGCTTGCGCCTGGCTGGCTGGTCCATCGGGGTGGATTTTGCCAGCGCCGATTGGATCTGTCTCCCCTCTGAATATGAGGCGCACCCCCGAGTATCTGTCTCCTCTCAAGCCAAGCCAAAGGGCTGCACGCCGTTTGTACCTCTGACCCTGGTTCGAGCACTTCTGGCCCGCAAGTCTGTTGCCGCGCTGAGCGCGTGTCTCAATGGCCCCCAGAAGCTTCAGCAGGGCCGTTTCGCCAATCTGGCTCGGAGCATGGCCCTTTCATTGGCTTCCGTGGAAGAATGTCAACCTCTTGATGCCCTACCGGACCAATGGTCCGCCATTATGGTGCACGAAACCGTTTCCTCGGCCGACAAGGCGGCATTGCAACAGCTTCTACCACTGCTTGCTCAAACCAAGACCATCACCTGGGTTCAAGAACCCGAGCAGGCCACCCTCGTGATCCTTGGCCCCAACACGCCAGCTGAGACGCGCCGCGTACACCAGCGCAACTCGCACTGCCAGTTGGCAACTGTGCGCTTTGTCGTTGCGTATGCGTTGGGCTGGGCACGTGAATCCGACCTCGACTCACCCCATTTTCATCCCGTGGGCAATCTTGACACAATGGGTCCCATCAACACCGCTACTTCATCTGCCTCCAGTGTCAATGCATCAGCAAGCACTCCTGTGGCTCCTGGGCTGCGCTCGCATCAGGCTACTTTGGCTCCACGCCCTCGATCCCCAGAGCCCAGCACTGGGAGTCTAGAATCGCAATCGCAATCGCAATCGCAATCGCAATCGCAATCGCAGTCGCAGTCGCAGTCGCAGTCGCAGTCAGAGACAGGGGAGCATGCTGCCAAGGTTTGTTCCTGGTGCTAAAAAGCTCCATCATTTCTTTGTATCGTATCTGCCCCAATGTCCTCATGACGCTTGTGCAGGTGGCACATCGTTCGCCTCTAGAATCGCCGTTGCGACTATCGCCCCGGCGCCGCACACACAAGGCCTTGGGTGCGTTGTTTGCGCCATGGGTCCATGCCTCCTAATGTTCTCGAGCACAGTCTCGTCACTGTGGTGGAGGAGCCCGTGCGACTCTTACTTCCCAACGAGCTTTTTTGATTCCTTCCTAATTTTTGTATGTTTTGTCATGCGGTTGGGCAACTTGCCACGACGCGTAGAAGCCATGGGCCCTTTGTCTCCCCACGTCATGCCTGAAAATGCGTTTTCGCGGCTGCGTGCCTTGGCTGTGGATGAGACCTTGCCTAAAGTGAAGGCAGATCTCCTCAAATTGGTTTCCAACACCGTATTGCCGGATGACACTGATGATCCCCTTCGCTGCGTCGATGCATTTTGCTCGTTGGGCACAACACACCATGTTCTTCCACCCTCACACGTGGGCACTTTGTTGGTAAGACAACCCGCTGACCCATCTTTCCGGCCACTGTGTCGTGTGCCTCTCTCGTACCCCGTTCCACTGCGTGTCATGGCCAGATATTGCCGGAGCTGCTCGTCTGAATGTGATTCTGATCAGCAGTCTATCCTCATATTGAGCGCTAAATGATATGTGTCCCAATAGCGCATGCTCAAGTACTTGGATCAGAGTGATGAGCGAACCGGGCCTTGGGCTGCTGCTATCCTCGCCGCACAAGTCGGCCACTGTGAACGGTTGGTTGTGTTGTTGGCGTCGTGCTGGGTGGATGCTCATCTCAAAGCTTCGGGCCTTCTTGAGCTTACTGTGTGAATGCAATTGCTGTTGATGCTTTTCTCCTCAGCAACCAACTTGCAGGCTGGGAAACCAGCTTTTTCAACGAGCAGCGCTCCCCGTCGGAGCTCACTACCTCCAACATGATGCGCGACTACGAAGATTGTTTGCTACTGGCGCTGGAGCAGGAACTGGGAGGCGAGCCATTGATAGACTATTGTCTCGCGCTTGGCGAAGCCGTCATCTCCAGGACACAGACGACTCTATCAGAATTCAGTCACAAATTCAAGATGGCCATCATCGATCAAGTGTGTGATCTTTCCCGAGGCTTGGACGCTCGTTTGCAGTCTTTTGCTTTTCCACTGGGAGCAGTGTGTCTTACCTGTTCTGTTGTTGATGACGTGCTTCAGACTATAGATGCGGCCTTGGGCGCAGATTTGGCTCGACTGCGTCGTCTTCAACGGGCACTCACACTCATGCTCCTTCGTCAACCAGCATCCCAGGTTCAGCACTTGGCCATGGAGCTGTGGCTGAAGATCGAGCTCGAGTCCAATGCCACACCAAAAGGTCGCGCTGCATGGTTGCGACTTTTACATACAAGTTGCGCACCACTGCAATTTGTTTTGAGTCGTCTGTGGCTAGACCATGCCTGTGTCTGCACCACGAAAAACACACCCCACCAGCAAAACTTTGTTCAGCAGGTATGATCGATGCTGCTCCGCAATCTTCCAAGCCAGCCAGCCAGCCATACGTCCCTCTAATGGCTATTGCGGCTCGCTTCTTCAGATTCACCTCGACGAATGGTATTCATACTATGCTCTCTTGTCGCCACGGGAGGTACGTCATGACTTGTCTTGCAATGGCGCGCCATTATGCGCAGGCTGCCTCAGCGTCTTTTCATGTTGTTTGAACTTTTTCAAAAAAAAATTGCAGACTCGGGCTTCCATTGGCACCGGACCGGGATCAGTGATTGGGGTGCGTTTGACTTTTGCAACACATCGTTCATCGTTTCGTTGAAATTGCGCAAGAGGACCGGCCACTTGGCTCATTCTTTGTTTGATGTCTTGTCTTTTTCCTCTTTTCGTAGACGATGCGGCAGACATGGACAACGCTGGCTCGTGCGGCCTTGCAGCTGGGCTTGTCCAAGGCACTGTCCGTGAAGAAGGCATGCAAGCATATGCGGGAGCGCGACACGCCATGGATGAAGAGCTTTGAGCCCGACCTGCTGTTGTTGGATAAAATGGCCTCGGTCATTGTGCTGAGGACAGATCGGGGCAACACCGCTTCTGGCGATCAAGCTACTCCGCACAGAAAGCCTGCAGCCGCTCGTGCCCTCTGAATTGCTCGTGTGTTCACGTAATGCACGTGTAATGTCATGTTCCCACTTAACGGAATCCTAATATAATTGAGAAGATTATGGATTGCCATGCTTCGCCTCGATCGTTGTCGCAGACTCACGTTTCGAAGGCAGAGAACTAGCTTTGTGGATGCCCTGGTCGGGCAGAATTTGTTCCACACAAGCTCACGCAAACAATTAACTACACACATCAAGGCCCACTCTATGCCCTTTGACAAAAAAAATTGAGTGCCAAGACATGAAGACACTTAAAGAACACGGTTGACTCACAAGTCATTCATGGCGCTGCCCAGATCAGCATCAAAGTCCATGTCGTCGTCATCTTCGTCGTCGTCCTCGTCGTCGTCCTCGTCGTCTTCTTCTTCTTCTTGATCTTCGCCGTCATCAAGGTCTTCCTCATCCTCCTCAGCATCTCCCTCATGATGGCCAGTGTGCACACTGGCGAGCGCACTGGCTCGCGATGTGCCTGTAGAGCGGTGTGATTGGGTTTGCTCAGCGGATAACACCGGGTTTCCACTCGTGGTCGCGCGATTTGATCCAGTCAACTGCGAGGCAGATATTGAGGTTTTAGCAAGGCTGCTGCCTGTCCCGCCAAGCAAAGGTGTTTCATCCAGAGCAGCTGGCGGCGGAGCCGAATCGGAATCCTCTCCCAGCACGGCCAGCAAGGCGGCATGGTTGAGCTTGCTTGACTTCTTGGAGGCTTGCTTTTCCTACAGCGACAACGTAGCAGTTGAGTGTGTGCCTGGAAGATCAAGCACGGGACACCAGGTTTGTGCAACTCCATGGCACGGCCCGACTCTTTGTTTACTAAAGCAGCGGTCACGTACAATCGCCTTGGGGCGCTCTTGTAAGAAAGCATTACCCGGACGAGCTTGAGGTTGCTTGGTCCGCTTACGCTGTAATATTTTTCCATGGCAACAAATCATGCATGACCTGTGAGCCAATTTTCTAGCAAATGGCCAGAGCACCTGGTGCTGTCTTGCGCGTGACATTTGCATCCTATCACATACCCGTTTGGCCGGCTTATCGCCCTCTTGTCGCCGCTGTTCTTGACGAGCCAAGAATTCTTTATGCTCCTAGCAGACAGAAGCACAGGTTTGTAACGACATGCCACGAGGTGGGTTTGGCACCATGAGCCCAGCACCTGGCCACGACTTTAGCAGGCCACAACCCAAAGCAGGAGTGGATCGGCGGTATACATCCTTTCACGTACAGCGTGCCAATGCTCACGCTTCACTGCGGCTTCATCCGGGGTCAGCAGAAGCTGAAATTGTAAACCGAGAGCAGGGTTCCCAAAAGCGCACCGATGAGAAGCTGAAGCCATTGAAGACTTGCCGGTAGATGGCCGAAAGCCGAACAAAAACCAAAAAAGCAAGAGCAAATAAACAATAGTTGAAAGAAATCCAGCCCTGCATCATGACGTACATCGCCCAGTTCATCCTCGTCAAGGTCGGATAGGTCCTCCCGTCCTTCTGGGGGATGCCAAGTAGTGTCGATGGTTGCGGCCACACCTGCCCCATCAATGGGCTGAAGAGCCGAGCTGTCTAGAGATTGGCCTTGGTTGGGAACGGGCACGAGCGCGCCGGATGACGCCGGCGCCGCCTCGTGATCCAAAGCTTCAAAGTCTTCACGCCGAGACAGGTCTTCTGACTCCTGGACAACCTCATCAGTAATCTCCCGTTGACGTTTGAGTTGTGCTGCCCGAAACGCTGGAGGTTCAGCCTCACCACCCAGCTCAATGGTCTGAAACTGCTCAGGCGTGAGTTTGGACGATTCGGTGTTTCCGAAATCTTCCAATCTATTATTCATGCATTTTGGTGAGGCAAACATGACCTGGCAAGCCAAGAAAAGACCTCCTGATTACACAGACACCGGGCAAAAATTCGGGCATGATCCGCCACCGGACTGTCTGCTGAAGCCTGTCTTGGCTCACGTCGCTGGTTTCCCCAGGCCATTATTGGGCAGGACTACGTACCGAGCGCGCACAGTCTGAATGCCCACATGGACGGCCTGTTGCACATCCTGGAGGTTACGCTGGAACCCATGCATACGTGCAGCCAAGAGCAAGGCTGCACCACAGACACCGGAAGGGCGGCGCCCAACATGAATCCAATCTCGCTTCATTCGCGACACAATGCGCAGGGCAGTTTTGGAGACCTGCGATTGCAGAGCGCAGAGCGCAGATCGAGTACAGCGAGTGGATGGGTGAGCGTGATGAGGCTGCAGTGACCAACAGTGCCACTACATGTAAGCCTTACCTCATGCGTGAGTTCTCCAAAGCGCATATGGTGTGCAAAGCGGGGAATGTAGAGAACAGGATCTAAGGCCCAGCCCAAACGAAGATGAGCAAGGGTACCGGGCATCACCCAGGCCGGAACGATGAGAAATGGGGCAAGGCACCCACCGACAACAGGCAGTGAGGTGAGCAGCTTGTTGCACAGCTGCATGTATGTGGCTGCTAGTTTGTAGACGTTCACCTGTGGCACGCCCGGGTGCGCGGGACCCGGTTGAGATTAGATGGACAGGACGTCGGTTACAGCAACAAGAAAAAAAAAGGTGGGCTCACGTGAGCAAGACACAATGTGCCAATCAAAAACGGAGTTCGTACCCGCAGTTGGTCTGAGAAATCGAGCAGCATATGCGATGTTTTTTGTTGCCGGCACACGATGTAGAGGCAAGCCGCCACAACATGTTCCTTGGGCCGGCCTTGCGTAAAGCGATGCTCCACCGCTTGCTTGTAGTAATTGACAGCCATATCAATATGGTGCGAGTTCATTTGCATCTTGTTGGCCAGTTGCTGAATCAAGGCACGACCTATGGTAGAAACGTATGTGTGTGCAAATGTCGCTGAGCGTGCTGACGTCGACGAGGGTGAAGCAGGTTGCGAGACGCCCGGAATCCATCGTACCGTTTGCAATCGTAGTTTGACGCGAGTCACGATAGCCGCCGTAAGCACCCGAATTGAAGGCACCCCGCCCTATTATGAGCGTTGAATTTGAATTGGGAGCAAAAGGTTAGCGATAGGGGTGTGCACAAGGCGGGCATGGGGCGAAAAGGTGCAAGGTCAGCCTACCATCAGCGTCTACAAAACGCTCAACGACGCCTCGATCCTCGGTGAAGGTTACCTATCACAATTGGGCGAGGGAATCCGGCAAGCAGGCACATGAACTCGCTGGGCATCAGCAGCCCGAGAGCAGATCGTCGCCAGGAGAGCGAGCGGGCTGCGGCAACAAACCTCTGAGACAATGAGGTTGTCCTCGATGATGGCGCCACATACAGTACAAGTGGTGGTACCACGAGATTCGTCTTCCTCCACGCTCGAGCTCCCACAGCTGTGGCAGGTGGGCGGCATGGCGGCGGTCTACAGGCCAGCCACCGCTCACGTTGTGCTCAGAGGGACACGCGGGTGGTGACGAGTTGAGAGAAAAAAAAGAGAGAGAGAGAGAGAGAGAGAGAGAGAGAGAGAGAGAGAGAGAGAGAGAGAGAGAGAGAGAGAGGGAGTGTGTGTGAGAGAGAGAGAGTTTAAGAGAGAGTTTGAGAGAGAGTTTGAGAAAGAGTTTGAGAGTTTGAGAGAGAGTCTGAGAGAGAGTTTGGAGTGAGAGAGAGAGAGAGAGAGAGAGAGAGAGAGAGAGAGAGAGAGAGAGTTCAAGTAACGGTTACACGAACAACGAGATCATTTTGTGGATGTGAGACGGCAATTGGAGCTGCCGATACCGCTACTTTTGGGTCCAAAGCCAGGGTTGGGTTTGGGGATTGTGGGTGCTGCTTGAGCCAAAGCAGGATGGGATTGACAACGCGAGCGGCTACGAAGGCGGACGTGCCTACGATCATTGAGTTGATCACGCTTCTGGCTTCGTACGAGAAGGAGGAACATCAGGTGAAAATCACTCCTGAGCAGCTGGTGCGCGACGGATTTGAGGAGCCGCGTCGCTTTCATTGTACCCTGGCCGAGGTTGATGGGCAGGTTGTGGGCTACGCGCTCTACTTCTTCATCTATTCGTGCGTGCCTTGAGTTGGCAGTCGATCATCATGCCGCCTTCCGTCAACGTCGTCCCCTGGGGTGCGCTTGAACTCATCCATCCGGCCTCTCGCGCTGCTCATGCAGGACTTGGGAGGGTCTATCCCTGTATCTGGAAGGTATGACCCTGCATTCGATTGACGGGGGCAAGAGGGGTTGCAGGGCACACCGCGCCAAAGGTATTTCACACCTTGCCTTTTATTAGACTTGTTTATTCGCAAGGAGGCGCGGGGCCAAGGTGCAGGAATGGCGTTGGTGCGCGCTGTGGCCGATTTTGCGCGCGCACACGACTGCAGGTTGGTATTGACCGGCCACTGTCGGCAGGGTCACTGTCGGCAGGGTCACTGTCGGCAGGGCCACTGCACATACGCATCTATGCTCCCTGTCTTTTGGAGATGGTCCACAACCTGATCCATCCTCCGCGTGTTGCTTCGCCGCCCGCTGCAACTCGAATGTGCAGCCGTTTGCAATGGCAGGTCATTGACTGGAACCAAAGCTCCATCGACTTTTATGTGCACCGCCTGGGCGCTCGTGAACGAACGGAGACCAATGATGCCAAATGGCTGAACATGATCATGGACCGGGCCGCCATTGCCAAGTTTCTTGAAAGCTAAAGCCTTTCTTGTACAGTAATTGATTTCCCAAGCTTCCTTGATCCCTACAATTAGCCATCACAACCGCCGAGCCAGACACAGCGAAAGACACACGCGCCAAGACGCACCGTCCAGTCCCCCCACTCCCCCATCCTGCGCTTCTTCACGCAGAGTGGTCGGTAGTGTGTGTGTGTGTGTGTGTGTGGATGCGAAGGAGTTATCCGAATTGTCATCATCTTCATCCCCTTGTGCTTTTGTGTGTGTGTGTGTGTGTGTGTGTGTGTGTGTGTGTGTGTGTGTGTGTGTGTGTGTGTGTGTGTGTGTGTGTGTGTGTGTGGAGCTTCAGTTTTCATTTGGTGAACTGGTATTGCCGAGTTGCTGGCTCACCTTGGTGAAAGGAACAGAGCGGGGGCGGGGGTGGGGGGGGGGGGAAAAT